GCATAGATTTAGGACACGTGTTCTCGTACATCAAAGTGATAGGCATTATTTTTTTGTATTCCTTATTCAATTTCTTCATTTGTTCACCATTGTCCCAACTGTGAAGAGCTGAAGAGCATCGCAAATCACGTAAATATTCCCTTCCTCGACGTTTTATTGTTCATATATAATTTGTCGGAAATTACATTCATGTATTATCTTGGGATATCATTACGGTATATGTCAGCGTTTACATCGGAAAGATTGACGTGGTCAATTCAACAAATTAGAAAATTTAATGTAATGTGAAAACTGAATTTACATATTATTCAGGAGCGGATAATGACTGTTTGAGAATAATACGAATAATCTTTGCAACACTAATAAAATTTTAAAAGAAGGAAGTTACAGGAAAAGATAACTCCTCCTCTCTTGCGTTCAAGAAAATAAATAAATATCTTTAAAGAAAAATTTTGCAAAATTTTCTCATAATTGGAATTTTATGATTGAAGATCTTTATTTTACATAAATTCGCTTCTCTTGTCGGGTTCGAGCGAATTGTTCACTCACTTCCTACTCGCACGGCCCCTTCTTCAGATGTGACTCCCATCATCCAAGGAATATCAGCGATTCGACCGTGTTTCGTAGAGATTACAGGATCTTCCGTTATAAAGGCACCTGGATGATTGGGTTCTATCACCGGTAGTAAGGATATCGGATCCAAACCGAAGACCTATGATAAGGCATAGTTAATTAAACTGAATTATTCGAAACGTCGAGGAGCACACTGGAATGAAGATATGTTCTGTGCAAACTAAAAAGAAGATATATGCGACATATGATGAAGAGACCGTAAATGACCGATTGTGCCAATTTTGATATGCAAAGTTTTGTGCAGGAAATTTCTCTGTCAAAAGCACAGATTCGGAAAGCGCATTTGTATAATTACTTGGAAAAGACGACTGGTACTTATAATATCGACGGCATTTTTTGTACGCAGGCAAGCGATTAGTTCCTTGGAATTTTCAGTGGGGCAGTTCAAATGTTTACCCACGATTTTAGCGTTTTTTTTTGCCAATCCCGGCTTGATTAAAGCCCATGGGCAATGAGTTGCGCCGCTCTGAGAAATTGCGCGATGGTAAAGACCTGTGTAGGGAGGGAAACATAAATACTCCTCGATCGTAGAAAGAAATTATGCTAGGGACGTCCCGATTCGTATCGATACGTTTAAATGTCGGTACACGGCCATTTGATATTCATTTGATATTTTGCAACGATACTTTGAGTTTCAATTTCGTAGCTTATGGGTTAAAGGCCTAAGTATCAATTGATTTGCCTCAAACCAAAGAATAATTTATCTTTCCGTTTGGTTTTCCGGTTATCGGATGTTTCTCACAAATATATTCTTATTTCATTAATGTGACCTTTTCGATTATGCATTATTGAAGTGATACGGACGTGAATTAAGCGGAATACGTTGCCGCATAAAATGGATGTGGATTTACATCAGAACTCAGCAAGCGATGTACCTTCCAATTGATTTTTAGGTAACTCCACTGGCGCTATTTCTTTTGCTTTGTCGCCCAGCGCGCAGTCTGCGGGTCACGAGAACGTGATCATTGCATATCATGAAATACATCGCTCACCAAGTTTTGAAGTGCTATTCCGTAACCGTCATTTTTTAGATCGTTATATTATTGCGTAGCTTTCTTGCCACGTTATATCTGCGACACTCTCTAGCCGACAGTTATCTATAGATGGTTATGGAATAGCATAAATAGCGAAAAGTTGCTTTATTTGAGATCCGCCTGCAGTTGTTCTCAGACACCCTGTATATTTGTATAATATTTACGCGATACATTTTCTTGCAAACATTAATGTTTCAGCATAAACATTTTATATGAAGCCGTACCTTGTGAGAGAGGACTTATCATATGATATTGCACACTTGCACTGCCCACGCTTCCACCGAAAATGGTCACTTTATTCGGATCACCGCCGAAAACGACAATGTTCTCGTGCACCCATCGAATGACTTGCGCCTGATCCTTCAGACCTACATTACCTGGACATTCCATATCCTCCGTACTCAAAAAACCTAACGGTCCAAGTCTATTGCAAGAAGTATATATATTATTAAAGTGAAGAAAGGTTATATACAATTTTGCAAAATTCGCAATAATTAACCCTTTCGCGGCGAACAGCGCCTTTAGGCGCTCAGCTATAGATGCTCATTTTCAGCGAACAGCGCCGTTCGGCGCTCAGGCAAATTTACCCGCGGTGAACGAACAACGCCAGATGGCGCCCATTCGGAGCCGCTCTCTTCGTGCGAAGGCGCTGTTCGTTTGTCATCAACAACTGCCATTAATGTCCATTAAGTTGTTTTTGACGTGCTAGCAGCATACGCTTCTTGTGCAAAGGTTTTTTTTACATAGTCAAATATTATATACACACTGCGTTCGGAACGACTCGCGTATTTGGTCCGCGCGGTCGATCTAGCATCGGCTGTTTAGAGCGCAACTCTTTCCAGAGCACTCCGCCGCGAAAGGGTTAAGGAAGATTATTATTTAATTAAGGAAGAGGATTAATTAATCTGTATGAACTAATGAGTATACAGAAAGCGGTGGGCTCTACTCAGTGTAAAGAAACATGGCTTATTTCTGAAAATATCATAACAACGATGAGTATCAACTGATTTCTAAACACCACGAATATAAAGAAAGTTTTCAGGCACTCGGTGTATCTGAACATTGTGGAAAAGAAGGAAAAGCAACGTTTTCTTTCTTTACTCGTAATAAATCTCGTAATAAAAATAAGTTCGTACGAAAGATGTTTGAATTTACAAACGATCATTATTCAAGTTTCTTCACCGATAATTCGCAGTGACCAAAACGACGTCATGGTCCAATAAAAATTGCGGCCCGTAAAATGAAGAGTGACTGGAACCGGTCGCCCATCCACCACCGTGTAAAAAGACCATGACTGGAAATCGTTGGAACGTTGCCGCTTCCTGATCGGATGGCACTTTCGGTGTATAGACATTCAGATAAAGGCAATCTTCAACGCCTTGGATCAATCTTGACTTATAAAAAATTTCCTGCTGTGTGCATTTCTCGGCATCGTCCTTAGCTAATCGTACGCCGTCCCAGGCGGCCGCGGGCTTTGGTGGCTTTCAGGAAAAACACATCGTATCACATGATTAATTCTAAGCCTACTTATTAGATTCACGGTGGTTCTAAATCTGTTTTTTACGTCAGAACTGGTTCACCGTTTCGAGCAAAAGGCGGAAATGATATTCAGACCTGACCGAGACAAGTGGATTAACTTTTTACACTTTACAACGATATGAAGTTTTCATACAGTACAAATGATTCTCAAACG